CGGGCCGGGCGAAAGGGGGGGATTGGGAAGGGGGGGTTACAAAATTTGCTGCATGCAGCTGGTTTCGGCCTCAAGGAGGGGCCCATTCCTCGATACATAGCCGCCTCCGGCGCCGGGAGGCGCCGGGAAAATCAGCTACGTGAGCTGATTCTCAAACCCCCCCTTTGCTATCCCCCCCTTTCGCCCGACCCGATCTGTCTCCCGACGATGCCCACTCGTGGTGCCGATGGTTCTGGAGGGCGTGCGCCACGGCATCGTGCTGTCATAAGCTGGCCATCGCTCGGACGTCCCTTCCCCGTGCTTTTTTCGGTTTCGTGCGTGGTTTTTTGGCTCGATGGTCCAGGATGGTCCTCGATGGTTGCCGCCGAAGGAAAAATGCACACGTCCGAGCGATGCCAAGCCTCGTGCTACCGATGGTCTGGAGGACGTGCGCCACGTCACCGTGCTACCATGAGAGGGGCATGATGGTGCACGGGTGGGCTTTCCTGGCCCGGGCAAGCCCGGGCCACCCAAGAAGCCCTCGACCTGGAGCTCAGGAACGGCCCGACATCCAGAGGCCCTCCCGAGCCCTCCGCTCTATAGGGCTGGCGTGCCTCTTCCACGGCAGCCCTTCTATGCGCGGAGCGCAGGGCACTGAGGGCCACCCGGGTCTCCGGCGTTACCCGCGGCTGTGAGGCCGGGCGTGCACTGGGCTGCCCGAGGTCCCACGGCAAGTCGGCGGCGCGCCTGGGGGGGGGGGAAGAGAGCGGGGGCGGACCTTTTCTGGAGGCTCTGGAGGAAGCCCTCTGAGCCTTCTTCTCCGGAGCCACGCGCACGGGCTTCCCAGAATCCCAGAAGGCCACATGGAGGGCTTCGGAAGAGCCCCCGCGGCCTCCCGAGGACGCCCGCCCCTCGCGCTGCCAGACCCCCCTTTAGTAAAACGTGGTTTAGTGAAAACGACCTGAGGCCCAAACCTGGCGGGCACAAGCCTGGAAAACAACGGCCACGGCGCCCTCTCGAGAACCGAAAACGGACAATTCACTCATCGACGCGTCGCTGTTGGGGGTTCTGCCCACCCCCGACCGATGGGGAGCCGTGTCGAGCAAGACCGCGCGGTGCTGACGTCGCTGCGGGCTGCTGCGCCATGGCGTGCCTCGCTCGACCCTGTGGACGACACCGCGGCCTCGCGGAGGGCGCAGGAAAGCGTGCGAGGGCGGCCGCCGGTGCCCGGCCGCGGGCGGCCCTGTACCGCTCGAGGGGCCGGCCGCTCCGGGGGGTCGCTGCCGCGGCAGCGCGAGCCCGCGCGAGGCCGTCCCGGCCATCGCTCGGACGTCCAGGCCCTGTGCTTTTTGGGAGTTTCGTGCGGGGTTTTCTCGCCAAGTGATCAAGAATGCTCACCGATGGTCCTCGCCGAGGAACAAACGCACATCTCCGAGCGATGCCAAGACTCCTGGCCATCGCTCGGACGTCCATTCCCTGTGCTCGTTTTTTGGTTTCGTGCGTGGTTTTTTCGCCAAATGACCGAGGACGCTCCTCGATGGTCCTCGCCGAGGAAAAATGCACACGTCCGAGCGACGCCAGGCGACTCGCACTCCGTGGGCGATCGATGACTGACACGTCGGTCGGAAGCAGGCGGAAACATGAGGCAGGGAGGCGGATCGAACAGGCTGGGCTCGGGCCCTCCCAGAAAGAATCACAGGACACCGCCAAGCCGTATCGGTTCTTGGGGCAGGAGGGCGCTTGAGGTAGATTGGGACCTGGGGATCCAGAAAAACCTACTTTCAACGACCGGCGTGTCACTTTTCTCTCCCCCGCGGTGCGCACGGCGGCAGTGCCCGGGGTGCACTGGGGGGAGAGGGGCGTTACGTTATAGGGGGGGGGGGAGCCAGGGGCTATCATGCCCATTACGCCCCAAACAGTGAAGGAACACGCTCCAGCGCGTACCCGCCTCGCACTCCTCAGGCGATCGACGACTCCATTTTTTCTCTGGTCGAAGGCTCCACGCGCGCGTGGGACCTCCTCTTCCGTCGCTCAATCGAGTGTTGCTCGCGCCGCCGGCCCTGCCCAGCGCGGCCGCGCGTGGCGACCCCGCATCCTCCGCGAGAGCCCACCTCGTGGTCCCACCTCCCCCGTGCCCTCGGCAGGCGTCCACAGCAGGCAGACACCTATAGGATGAGACCTCGTGCTGTCAACAATCCGAGGGCACAACATCCCTCGTCGATCCGTGAGTGTCCTGAGATACCCCAGAGTTGTGGATGCACCGACAAGGGGCACTCTAACCGCTCTAGCATTGCATGGCACATGTCTTTAACCTCTGTTTTCTACATGCTTTAAACATGTTCGAACCATGTTTAAAGCATGTTCTAGCACTTTACGAGTATAGTCTTACTCTGTTTTAGACATCTGGGAATTACTTTGGCAATCTCCCTCCTCTCCATTGATCGTCGTCCACAGCCCCAGTGCTTCTGTAGGTCACTGAGGCCAGCCGGGGGATACGACATTTCCGTGGAGCACCCGCTGGTGGGTCAATGTCGTACAGACTTGATGTGCCTGCTGCACTCGCGGGCCGTGCTCGGATGGCCCCATAGGGACCGACAAAAAAAAACAGCCCCTGGATGCCGAGGCAGCGAAGATGCAGCCGTCGTGTATGGTTGCTCTCGGCGCCTGGAAGTCTGTGCAGCCGTCGTGTATTTGGACGCCCGAAATGGGTACGGAAAGATTGGGCACAATGCCCAACAGCAACTGTTGTCCCGAACCAACAGCGGCCGCTGTTGGGCAGGCGGCCTCCTGTCTCGAATGAACACAGGCCGCGGCGGCGTGGACAGCGAGTCCTGTTCAAAATGAACAGGAACTGCCGTTGGGCAATGTACCCCTTCTTTCCGTGCCCATGTCGGGCGTCCAGAAGTGTATGTTTGTGCGCGGCGGCTGGAGGTCTGCACCCGGCTGTGGCCGCCCTAGGGGCCAAACAAAAAAACGCTCCGAGGACTCCTGCCCCGAGCCTCCCCTTCCTGCAGGGAGGGAGGGAGGAGGAGGAGGAGGACGAGGAGGAGGAGGAGGAGGAGCTGGGAGGGAGGACGTCTGAGTCCGTGGGTCAAGCATCGACCCACGGACAGGTCCTGGGGGGGGAGTCGAAAGTGAGCCTGGTAACTCAAATAGGGCATATAGCCTGGCAAATTGCATCCATCGCTCTGCTGTGAAGGTACAGTATGAGGGGTGGATGGGTAAGATAGGATAAAATCGATGTAATGATCTTTCCAGCACATAGCGAACACTCGCGGTGCCCGGGCAAATAGGGCGCGCGTGCCTTGAGCCCAAGGCAGCGGCGCGCGAGCTATGCTCCCGATACTGTAACATCTCCCAAAGAGCTACCCTTAAAGTCGGGAGGGGAGGAGACGGAGAGCATAGTCGCACGCAAAGATCGCGCGCACGACTGTTTGCAAAGAAAAGAAAACAGTGCGTACAGTCTGGTCAAACACCAGACTGTAAGGCGAGTTTCCTCGCAAAGTATTTCACGCAAATACAGGACAGCCCCTTCAAACAATGAAGGGCTATCGGCTTAGTTAGAGGTAAGCCAAAATTAGGCCATACCTCACCAAGCAAATGTGTATTAAGGCAAAGAGCCTGAGTTGTACGAAGCCGGCTCGTTGCCAGGCGTGAAATATAAGGCTCGTTTCCGAGCAGCTAAAGGGGCGCCTTTATAGTAGGCGCCCGTGCTGGCAAACTGGACCGCGAGGGCAACAAGGACAGACTAAAATTGATTAGACTTGGGTTTGTCTCTGTCCTCGGGGCCCCGAAAGGGAACAAATTGCTTCACGTCATACTTAAATGACTGAGTGCCTGACATCACTTCCAGAAGCAGCTCCCGATCGATGCTTCCCTTTGTATGCCCATCTGCGGTCATATCCCTAGTATCACACCATTGCACATTATGTACTATACCTATATCCATGAGCTCACGTATCCAACTGATATGTCCAAGCAGAGTCCGTTCTGCAGGTATTTTGAGATCCCTGCTTGATAAAGATTTGTAGACGGACTCAGCGTCTATGGTAAGAGAGACTTTGATAGCAAGGCCTCCAACTTCACGCATGTCTCGTAGTTGTCGTGGAGTCAAAGCCCCTGCCTTAAGCTCGTGGAGAGTAATGAGCGTAGGGTAACACTCATCAAGGTTATGTGCGGCTGCAAGTGCCTCCGCAGCATAACTGGACCTCACCTGTAATCGGTGTGATTTGCATAGTCCGTCACAGAGGTGAACGACGGACTTGCCTTGAGGCGAGTTTCCTCGCCGTAGTACGTTGGCCCCGCGTATGCCGTAGCCCTTGGTCTCGTCATCCTCCTCCCCGGTAAGCTTCCGATACCCCGAATCGCTATGGATGTCAACTTCATTCGTCGGCTTCATCCGAGGGAAGGTGATACGTTTCGGGCTGCTGATCAGCTTTCGCGTCACAGCATTCAAACGTCTGACTTGCAAATTGGTGGGCTCTTGAATTTTCTGAAGAGAGACCACATATACCATGAGCCAGATTTGGGTAAGAAGGGCATAGGCGAGGGCTCCTCGCAGGCTGACGAACATGTCGGTAATGAGTTTCGTGGCTTTGGCGTCGGCCGCCGCTCCTGTAAGTTCTGGGTGTGTGATAGGACGTAGTTGTTTAATGTACTCGTCCTGGTCCATGATCACATCTCCCTGATCATTCTTAGTGTAGCGAACGGCGCAGTTCGTATATGTGTGCTTGTTGAGCTTGCATTTGCCAAACACCTTTTCGACACGTTGTACATAGTCGTCTATATTTTTCTCTAGACCTGTCATATTAATATCATCTACATGTTTTGCCGTCAGAAGGTCTTGGCTGAATTCAAGTTCAGGATCGTAGCTGGTCGGTGTAAGTCCTATAGCTCGTGTGGTCGTACGAAGTTTGAGAGAGAACGCTCTTGGAGCGTCCTTAGTACCCGTTCCTGGTTTAAGGCATCTAAGACAGCGTCGACTTTCGTCGTAGGATGAGAAGCCGGGTAATGTACGAAGTACCTGAGCGCTTCCTGGTGGAAGAGTAAAGCAAACCATGCGAGTTTCCTCGCCGGTGGCATGGGCAAGTTCCTCATAGGTCAAACCCTTGAGGAACGCCTTATCGATATCCATGGATGCTAAGATCCACTCTGGATGGCATGCCGCTTCACTTGCCAGGAGTCGTTGGGGCTGCCTTCTGGCGGTTCCCGAGAATGTTTCCACATCGAAAGCCTCAGTATCCATAAATCCACGAAGGACCAGTCTGAGACGAATGGTTTTAACGCTCTCGGTACCCATCTTTACGAACTTCCACTTATATACATATCTGGACGTCATGATGTTGGAAGCTTTGGATAAATCGTACATCTCAAAGCATCGATTATCAATCCAGATTTTGAGCTCAGTATATAAGGCTTCACTAACCTCCTTTGGGTGTGCTGCTATGTCGGCTTTGGTTAGTAGATCATCTTCTTTGACAACCACAGCACGTTTAGCAGCAGAGGATACATATACTCTCATCGTTGTGACCATATCGGTATCGAGCTGTGCAAGTTGAGTCTGATCCAACACTGTTTTAGACATTTCTGATGTAAAGCATAGTTCAACGTAAGGACCGTATTCATCACTGTCTAGAGAGTAGCTCTCGTCGGCTGTGTTTGAACAAAGAGAGACTAGACAGGACTCACATGATTTCGGCTCGTCTCCGAGCATATCTGATGATATAATATCATCTTCGTCCACAAATGCTGAAACCAAAACACACTGGTCGGGCAGCATAGTTGTTGGGACGCAATAAAGATAATCATCGGTAATCGTCGTAGGATGAAGGTCCATACGTAGCTCGTCGTACCACTCTTCCAGCATCATAGCTTCAATATTGTGTTCCTCATTTTCCTCATAGATTGTCGACAGACGGCCTTCGCTCGGCGATGAAGCGTCTGGTGTGTCTGGAGAAAGCCTGTTTCCAGGCGACTCGTGTTCTCCAGACGTGTTGCTTGGATGCTGATATTTAGCCAAATCGTCGTGAAATCCTAAGGAAGGGACACGTGAAGTCAAGCATTGAATGAGTGTGGAGTGAGTGCTATCAGTGATCTGAGAAATGTTTAAGCCAGTGCCCACGCATTCGTAATAGGGGAACGCCGGGCTGATGTCGTTGTCATAGTGGATCAGCGTAGACCCGGTGGCGTACTTTACTGCAGGTAGGCTTGACACACTCTTAGCCAATCGAACTGCTACTACATGTTCTACTCGGAAGTAATTCCGCACGAGATACTGTAGTGCTAAGTGTACGCGCGGGTGAAACTTGCTGTCGTCTGACAGATTAAGGTTTCCCTTGTAATCGGGGATATACCCGAAAACTTTGGCAGGTTTCCCTGCGCTGAGGTGTGCCACATAAGCAAGGACGGTTTGCATGGCCATATTATCCATGCCAAGTTCCCGTGTGAGGAGACATTCGATGTATAGTGTGTGACGAGCATCAGGATACATCACAATTACCTCACGAGATCCTGCCTTGACAACAATATGTCCTCTTTCAGGCACGTTTCGGATCACCGGGAATGGGCCGTTCCAGCCTCCATGGTCGTCCTTGGTGGCAGTAGGTCGGTGGTAGTCGACCAAATCCCCTGATGAGTAGAGGCGAGCACCATCAGGAGTCGTCTTAGCCCTAAGAGCCCGATTTGTCTTGGCTACAGCAGTAGCCTGAGTTATGGCTTCGAGGCTGACTTCCCTTACACGACGTTCTCGTTCGTGTCCTGAAGTCTCGGGTCCCTTGGGAAAGTCAAGGGTATCGAGATCAGGAAGGAAGGAGGGCTGACGTCCTGTGTGTGCCTGATATGGCGATACTCCGTTATAAAACGTAAACGCATTAGTAACGAAGATGCCTTCCGCCAATACTCTAGTGAATACAACAGGGATGTTGTGTCTATTCAATTCTTCCTCAATCATGTGGAGGACGCCTCTGAGAATGCCGTTTCGTGACTCAATTGAAGTCGCGTGTTGGCCCGGTGCTCGGATGCGAAGTTCCGTGCCCTTATTGGCCATCATGCTTTTAGCGGCATCATTATTCAGGGCGCCTTCTCCATCTGAGTATAAAACTTTGAAGGGTCCGTGATAGGCAATC